TCCCACTCCAGCTCATACTTCCTCAGTTTATACATATATGACTGTTTGTCACCCAAACATTCCCTTTTCTAATAAACAAGCCAAATGACTGGGGCTCCCCAGGAACCTCAGCACCACACCCAACTACCTACCTTCCTCATTCTCCAGGTAGAACAGAACTGGTTACTCCCATTTTGCAGATGGCAAAACCAAGGAGGCAGCCACACATCAACCGTGAAACAGAACCCAACCTTAAACACCTATGTGTGAAATCAGCGAGAGTCCTTCAGGATGCCCCTGGCACTCTTGCTCAAGTGATTCTCCAGCAACAGTGACTCAGGGTGTAATTGTGTAGCTCTGAAATTGGCATCAACACAGTTCTCCAGGCTTCCCACCCTCCTCCCACAAGTACCTGAAGGGCCAAAACATGGACAGCAAGATAAAATGTAAGTTGCAAAGCTGCTGATGTGTGGAGAGTGGAAGTGCTGAGATTCAAAGAGGCAGTGGTTAAGTACACCCTGGGCATTCAGAAACGGCCACGTCTGCAGCCCTGTGAGTGCATGAAGGATGAGCTCTGGCTGTCTCTGCCAGGTAGGCAGAGAGATGGGCCCTGCACTCAGGAGGAGCATGGGGAGCATGGCTGTGAGAGAGCATGAAGATAAGAAACAACTATTTAGCAAACACCAGTAGCCTCCCACAAGGAATCTTCCAATTTGGAAAGTGACTCTATTCTAAAATTACCAAGCAGAAAGTGGCCAGGTCGAAAATCCATATCCAATCAGTGGTGATAGACTCTGGGAGGCATTTCCTCGTGGAAGGCTGCAGTGTTGCTTTAACAATCCTGGGTCAGTAGTTTTAGATTCATTTAACTGGAGAGGAAACAGCACCCCAGCACTGCAAGCTCTATAGAGACTTCTGAAGTGAAGTAGCATATGAGGCCTCTAATCGGGAATGGAGGGACTTGTGGGCCTCATTTGTGAGATCTTCCACCTTTACCTGTATATTCGGTGCCAAGATCCTTTGCTGATAACCATTAAATAAAATTCTATTGCATCAAGAGCAGGGAAAGGGGGCTGAGGAAGACCTCATGCTAATCTGGGAAGAAAAATGGCAGAGTGAAGCAGTTTCAAATTCAACTTTTCATTCTATTGAACTTTTCTTCTTGCTGCAGTGACTGTCCCAAAGTATCTCTCTTGGGATCCTTTTCTTGTCCCTTTCAGTCCTGGTTGACACCTAAATCTTCCTTTATAGCCTCTGCCTGGCATTCCACTACCATTCAATCCTCTAATTAGTACAGATCAAAGGTAAACCCATGGCAATCTTAGGTTGCTGAGATCATGGTAAGGTGGTATGGGGACCAAGCAAGAGCAAATGTCATGTCCTCAGAGGGTAAGAAAGTCCGGGGCCAGCCAGGAAATAGATTAAGTCATCCCTGTTTCCCTCATTTCAAGTTGCTGTGACACTGGGAAATGAGCAAGGTCAGAAGTCCTGTGTAAACAGAGAGAAGGCATGGAGAGCCTTTGATACTGGCAGATCAGCCCCCAAATGCCCCTGTGGCAGTATAATTGCTTGGCAAAAATACTCAAGCCATTCAGTATTTTAGATCATGGTAAGGTGGTATGGGGACCAAGCAAGAGCAAATGTCATGTCCTCAGAGGGTAAGAAAGTCCGGGGCCAGCCAGGAAATAGATTAAGTCATCCCTGTTTCCCTCATTTTCAAGTTGCTGTGACACTGGGAAATGAGCAAGGTCAGAAGTCCTGTGTAAACAGAGAGAAGGCATGGAGAGCCTTTGATACTGGCAGATCAGCCCCCAAATGCCCCTGTGGCAGTATAATTGCTTGGCAAAAATACTCAAGCCATTCAGTATTTTTTAGACATCTGTGAGGCATCTATGGAGTGCTGGCTATCCCCTCTTGATGATGGTTGGCCTCATCTGTCCACAGTGAAATCTAGAAGAGGCTGGATGTGGAGGTTAACACTCTGGCAGTACCTCCAAGCCTCTGCTTTTCCACTGAACACGACACTGCCTAGGAAGAAGTGGCTCTAAAGTGCAGGACCACACAGAATGAGACACAGAGACTGTCTTTTATTTTACCTTATAGGAAACAGACCAGCTCACTCAATGGTACGTAAATACCCATTTGAGAACTCAACAAGGATGGCAAGTAAGTCCCAATGCAAGTGCCAAATCCATTCAACTGGCAGGAGCCTCTAGGAGGCCTCTGAGATGGTTCTGAGCCCCCAGCCAAAACGGTGCTGTGACTGATTAGAAACGTCTGCCATGGGTGCAAGATTGGGCATGTTTGTATTTGCCATCACTGAAACAGACAGGACTGGGACATGAACAAAACTGGCCAGGACTAACTATTGCTGATTCTTATACTTATGCCCCGCTTACCTTCCTAAGCAGGGTATAGTGGTTTGTCTAACCTGAAGTTCTAGTCCTAGATTTTAACTAAACCCAGAGAGAATTTTCAGTCATAATAAAAATGATGACACAAGGTGGTGTTCACTGAGTGCTTACTATCTACCTGGGCACTTTACATGTATATGGTATTTCCACAGGAACCTGTAGGGAAGGCACCCTCGTTATAGGTGAGGCAGTTAGGTATAGCGGGACTGCTGCGCCGCACTACCCTGGGGTGCCATTCCTACTGAATTCTACTATGCACTGAGACTGGCCTGATTTTAGGGAGGGTAAGGATCATGACCAAGGTCACTCAGTAAATGGTGAAGCTGGAATGAGAACCCAGGTCTGACTCTGCAGATATTACTAGAAGAGTTTTCTTTATTAAGTGACCAGGAAAGGAAAGAGGCCCTTAAATACTGGAGCTGGGTCTAAGAATGAGCTTATCCTTCCTGAATATGTGACACATGTAGTTCAGACCAGGTTAGGGTATATTGGCTGCTAATTCTCAAGCTTGCTTATAATCTTATTTCATGCACCACAGCATTTCACAACAGACCATTGGTCACTTTCATTTCAAAATCCATTTCAGTTCAACTGACCAGAAACTGTCATGGGTGGAGTGGAAAGTGGAAAGTTCATCAATAAGCCAGGTTTTGAACAGAGGATCTTGTCCAGTCCTTGGCGACAGACACAGAGAGTGGACATGCTAATGACAAGAAGAGAGCAGCAGGGTCATGATTGGCTCATCCACCAGAACAGTCATGCCTGTGTCCTTGGGGGGAGTCACATGAGAAACTCCAGAATGTTAGGGTTACCTTGAGAGCAAATTCAGTCAATCTATAACCTGCTCACTCTCTACTGGCAGTTGAGGCAGCCCTGCATTTATAATATAAAAGCTGTGTTCTAAAAAGATTACTGGCTGAATTATTTAATTATAAGGGAACCAGTATTAACATTCAGGCAGTGAGTATGCCCGGGAATGGTTAGGACAAACAGAGTAGGAAGGCACGAGGCCTGGAGAACCCCAACATGCCAACATGGAAGCTCACATTCATCTCTAGGGCTGTTGCCCAATGTGTTGGGGTCCTGTGTGAAGCTCTTCTAGAACAGAAAGTAGCCATGTCTCTTTGGTGTGGAAAGTAAATGATCTGCTAGTCAGAAGATATGAATGAATGAGAGAACTATTTTCCAAATTAGGCTTCCAGAGGAAGCGAACAGATTTCATAAGAGAACTCACCTGAAAAACAAAAAATTCAAGCTGCTTTCCTGCAGCCCTTTGTTATTATATTAAGAATATTAGCTTCCTTAAAAAAAGAAAAGAAAAAGAATTCTTACCAAAGCTCAAGAAATGGAATATTCAGGATGGTTGAGGAGGTAAGAAAAACCAGGAATTACTGTCAGTAGGGGAATCTAATACATCTAAATTAAATGGCACCCAGCTCTCCTAGCGCAATCCTTAGCTCTGAGGAGTCCAGCAGGCTCAGTCCTCCTGATGGCTCCAAGTCACAGGCTCTGTACAGCTACGTAGAAGGCAGACCGGGATGTGCTGGCAACAGCTGTCTTCCATAGGGATGGCTCAAAAAGAAGATCATTTTATGTCAGCTTGGCAGGGAGTATCGAGTAACATAGTTGGCGGGGGTTCTGCATAGGAAGGCTCTACTGGAAAGATTTTCATGACCTGTGTTTTGTAAAGATAATTTTATAGCATTCTCCAATGGCAATCACTGTGTACTATACTCACTCCCAGGCCTCAATCTAGATGAAGTTCAAAATAAGTACTGTGGAACATTCTAGGAAAAAGATCCAAGAGGAAATCATGTTTGAGCCTCTCACACCTTACTCTGGGACCAATGTGGTCAGAACTAATGAAGAAGAAGAAAAGTAAGTGCCAGGGTCTTGGGGAGCAAACTGAAATTTTCAAGTTAAGAACTATACCTCTTATTTCCTTTTGCTGGTAGGAATAGTAAGAAAAACAAAATGAACTGGCAGAGGAAAAAAATGAAAGCATCTCAAAGAAGAGCTTACAAATAGGGACCAATTCCCTAGGGGAAGGGAGAATCCTGCTGAAAAGGATTTTCTTTACTGGAACATAAATCCATAAGACCTTTCCCCATGTCTCAAGGAGACCAAATTTCTTGTGGTTCTAAACCTTATTCCACTTTATTCTGTCCTCAAATCCAACAGCCAGCCTGGGATGTGAATGCTGGCTTCTGGAGGGCAGTGAGGCCTATCAGACCTAAACCAGTCAGCCTACATGACATAATTACAGGTAATAGGATCTTGGCCCAGCCAATGGAAAATTAGGCCCAGCAGCTATTTCAGAAGAACGGATGTGATTCTACGCTTGACTGGCTATGAAAACTCAAAGCAGAAGAATAGGGAAATAGATAAGTGCCCAGCTGAGCCAGCAGCTTTGCAGAGAGGAATCCCACTGGGGCCAGCACACTGCTGGCTCCCGTCAGCACATGCTGCTCAGCTTGTGTGGGGAAGACTACTGGTGTCTAGAGACTAAGCTACCCAAGGAGTTTAAAAGCTGAGAGGGTAGACCCAGCAGCCTGGAGAAGGAGAGAAAAAGGTAATGTGACAGTTTGGCCTATTCTTCACTTTTACCTCATCTCTTCTTGTTGTGATGCCTTTTCATTTAGGGGCTGCGGGGATTTGAAGGTCCTCTCTTCAGGACTTTTAGATGTACCTGGCAAAGAACAGGAGACTAGGAATGAAGGGGCTGCAAGTGGGCAGATAACAGCCTGGTACTCACATGGTGCTTACAGCCCATCAATGAACAGGAATCTGTTGACTTGAACTTCAAAATAAACCCTTCACCTCATTTAATAGGTAGAGAGCCACAAAGCAGAATGGGAAACATACCAGGGTGGTAAAAGGACACTAATACTTTCTATTTGAATAGTGGAATATTTTAAGAACACTCACACATTAATATCTCATTACCTTTAAGTATCCTGGTTGGACACTTGGAGAGACGCAGGGAGGTGCAGGTCCCACAGTAAGCACACTGTAGTCAGGTCTTGTAATGGGCTTTTTCAACAAGAGTTCCTGAATTAGTAGCAGGGTGTATGGCCTCAACACTCCAGAGCCTCCCTCCCTACCCGACAAATGCCAAGCTTAGAGAGCTTTCCCAAAGAAGTGTAAAACACAACAAAATAATAGGTCTTCTTCCCAGTCCCTAGAGTCAGGCTACAGGGAATCAGTTAGTTGATTTAACAAATTATCTTTCTGTTGAGTATCTCTTTTACATACTAGGCAAAATACAAAGAACAAAGAGATGAAAGTGGGCTTCCTGTCCTTACGGAACTTATAATCTAGAGGGTAGACCAACGCACAGATCTCTCTTCAATACCACTGGTCAGTACACGACAGAGGTGAGCAGGCAGTGAGCTATGGGGAATGCAGGAAGGGCATTTTACCCAGCCTGGGAGATGAAGAGAAGGCTTCCTAGAAAAGGAAATGTGTCTTAAAGGACGGGTATGAATAAGAAAGCAAAGAAGGGGCGTGTGGTTGATATACTGGGTGGAGAGCTTAAGTTGACCTAAGGGATTCAAGAGATGATATGGAATGAAATACTTGGGAAACAATGAGTATAGTATGGTCACTTCTGATAAGGCACAAATTATGAAATGGGTAGTGGAGAAACATGAAGGTGGAGAGGTAAGCAAGGATATATGTAACCTAAGGAGATCAGACTTTATCCCAGAGGTCATGGGGGTTAGTTATATGCTTATAAAAATGCAACCAGTCAAACCTGTATCTTCTGGAACATTAGCAATAGGAATATGGATGTATGTGATCAAACTAAAATTGAACAAGATAGGTTAGAGGAATCATCAAACAAAATGGAAGGCCCACAAAGGCCAAGCAACATGTGAAGCTGGAATCAGGCAGTCAAAAGATATAAGCACTGAGACAACAACAGTAAATATTCTGGGGAGTCATGACCATAACAAATAAATGCCTCAGGTCCCTCTGCAGTCTCATGCACGTCCAGCACCCAGCTCAGTGAGGTTCCTTACCGAAGAGTAACTATGCTCAGGGGTCAGTGCTGGACCTTCAGGGTAGCCCTTTTCAACAAATTAACTAGTTCCAAATATTTGAAGGATGAGAAATGATAAAATATGGCCAAAAGAATGATCACCATCCCAAGGTAAGGGAAACAAAAGCAAAAATGAACAAGTGGGACTATATCAAACTAAAAAGCTTCTGTACAGCAAAGGACACCTTCAGTAAAACAAAAAGGCATCCTACAGTATGGGAGAATATACTCATAAATGACATATCCAATAAGGGTTGACATCCAAAAAAGAGCTCATGTGCCTCAACAAACAAAAAGCAAATAAACCAATTAAAAAATGGGAAGAGGATCTGAACAGATACTTCTCCAAAGAAGAAATTCAGATGGCCAACAGGCATATGAAAAGATGTTCCACATCGTTAATCATCAGAGAAATGCAAATTCAAACAACGAGATATTACCTTACACCCATTAGGATGGCTGACATCCAAAAGACAAACAACAACAAATGCTGGTGAGGATGTGGAGAAAGGGGAACCCTCCTACATTGCTGGTAGGAATGTAAATTAGTTCAACCATTGTGGAAAGCAGTATGGAAGTTCTTCAAAAAACTCAAAATAGAAATACCATTTGACCCAGGATTTCCACTACTAGGAATTTACCCTAAGAATGCAGCAGCCTACTTTGAAAAAGACATATGTACCCCTATGTTTATCGCAGCACTATTTATAATAGCCAAGAAATGGAAGCAACCTAAGTGTCCATCAATAGGTGAATGGATAAAGAAGATGTGGTACATATACACAATGGAATATTGCTCAGCCACAAGAAGAAAACAAATCCTACCATTTGCAAAAACATGGAGGGAGCTAGACGGTATTATGCTCAGTGAAATAAGCCAGGCAGAGAAAGACAAGTACCAAATGATTTCCCTCATATGTCAAGTATAACAACAAAGCAAAAACTGAAGGAACAAAACAGCAGCAGACTCACAGACCCCAAGAAGGGACTAGTGGTTATCAAAGGGAAAGAGGGTGGGTGAAGGGAGGGAGAAGGCGAATAAGGGCATTATGATTAGCACACATAAAGGAGAGGGGAGCATGGAGAAGGCAGTATAGCACAGAGAAGACAAGTAGTGACTCTACAGCATCTCAGTACGCTGATGGATAGTGACTGTAATGGGGTTTGTGGTGGGGACTTGATAATGGCGGGAATCTAGTGACCACAATGTTGCTCATGTGATTGTATATTACACCAAAATAAAAAATTAGATACTCTGAATAAACTATAGACTTTACTTAATGTGTCAATATTAGTTCATTAATTATAGCAAATGTACCAACTAATTAAAGATGTTAATAAAAAAAAAGAATGACCACCATGTAAAAGCAAAATTGGCAAAATTTGGGTAGAAAAATGTTGGCTGAGATGGAATGCACAGGTTAGGGTTTTTATATTTGCCCTACAACAAATTCTGTGAACAAAGGTGACTGAGCATCTTAGTTTACTGAACAGTAGAACTGGGGTAACATTTTTGATATAGGTGTGCTGTGAGAGTAAAATGAAACACTGTATACAAAAGCACTTTGACACTAGCAAATGCTATGTAGAATGAAAGTTTGAATACTCTTAAGTCAGGAGATCTTTACCTGTGCCCCCTTCAAGGAAAATAGCCTTAAATGGAAAAACACATGGAAAGACCACTGGTAGGTGATGAGGTGTCAAGGGTACATGGGAAGGTGAGAAAAGCCATAGCCCCCAGTAGTCTTTAACTCTTTGTGGGATTAGAGAGGTGTTTAGAAAGCTGGTCTTACTGCATTCCATCTTTCCTGGGCACTGGTAGAGATAATCATTTTAAATTAGGGGGTCTTGCAATTTGGTACTGGCACAAGCACAGACCCATAGACCAATGGAACAGACTAGAGAGCCCAGATATAAACCCAACCATATATGGTCAATTAATATATGATAAAGGAGCTATGGACATACAATGGGGAAATGACAGCCTCTTCAACAACTGGTGTTGGCAAAACCGGACAGCTACATGCAAGAGAATGAATCTGTATTATTGTTTAACCCCATACACAAAAGTAAACTCGAAATGGATTAAAGACTTGAATGTAAGTCATGAAACCATAAAACTCTTAGAAGACAACATAGGCAAAAATCTCCTGAATGTAAGCACGAGCAACTTCTTCCTGAACACATCTCCTCGAGAAAGGGAAACAAAAGCAAAAATGAACTCATGGGACTACATCAAACTAAAAAGTTTCTGTACGGCAAAGGACACCATCAACGGAACAAAAAGGCATCC